TCTTCTTCTTATCATAGCATACCAACCAGCGAACACCCAGCCAAGTTTAGTTAGCCAGTTTGAGTATTCGTTACATATAGTTAGCCGATTATAGTAGGAATTATAATAAGTTCTAGGAGTATAAAGGAGGGAGTAAAGTAATTATAAAAGAAGTAGTTATATTAAGTTAAAAGCTTGCTTAATTATATAGGAGTGAGCACGAGTTTATATAGTACTAGCGCGTATGTCCCTCGGCTAATACCTGAAAGAGCTCCACTACAAAGGAAGTAGAGCGCCCCTCGTGACTTGCCACGTGACAACAACTAATCCATCATTGCAGAACGTAAACATCTACTCCTTCTTCTCATCAACGTATTTAGTACCCTTATAAGCAGGGCTAGCATCAACCTCCTTATCCGCCATATTCCAATCATTCAAGTATCCCACACCGGCACACAAATACGTCGCGAATCCCAACCATCCCAAGTACGGAGCCAAACACCAACCAGCAACGGCATCAACCTGGCCCCAAGTATACGTCAAGTAACCAACGACACCGGTGAGGGTGACAATATCGGCAGTGGCTTCAATGGGACGCTTGAGACCGAAGAAGAGCGGCGTCCAGACGAGGTTGAGTCCTAGTTGAATGGTGTAGAGTGTTGCTCCGTGTTTCGTCAGGACGTGCTTTTCTGCAGAGGCAAGTGAGTGCATTCCCGTGCTGTGGGCTCGGTAGGCGGAGTAGCCCATGAGGCCGTAGAGGGCAGTCCATACGGGACCGAATACCCAGGGAGGGGGACGGTAGGGTGGTTGTTTGAGAGCGAGGTATTTCTTTTGGGTGTCCTTGGCTGGGAGAGTGTCAGAATGAGTTTTGGGGTAAGGTGGAGTTGGGAAGGAGGGCTTACGACTGATTGAGAACCCGACTCCGGTACCAAGGGCAATTGGTAGGAGGATTGAAGCTGCTGGGTTGGCGAAAATCGCCGCTGGGAGGGTGATTTGGGAGATGAAGGTCGTCATGATGGCGACTGGGTGTTTCGTTAGTCAATTGATGAGGTGAGAGTGTTGTTCGTGTGAGATCTCGTGTTATTTGATCTTGAGAGGGTTTGTACTCGGGTAGAGTAGTGTAGTGTCACTCGTACACGTACGGAGTTTTCTCCACAATCCGATGACGTCGTTTTTACCCTTCTGCAGATGTAGGCTTTCAGGCTCAGGGTTGTAGGGTAGAATGAATGCCAGAAGAGGAAGTGAAACTCCAAATGAAGAAACCTACCTGGAGGTCTTCAGAGTGTATATTGACTCGTTAAGAGAGTTGGGTATAGTGATTCCGCTTGTTTGGGAAGAGAAAGGGATTGTGACGTTGGGAGGGGAATCATAGCTGGGGCCAGGGAAGCTGCCGCAAAGATTTTCAACAACGTGATTGGCCACAAGCTGCATCCATCACGTGAAAGATCTGGCCCGCAGGCGACTGAAGGAGAGCAGCCAATATCTAGGTAGGCTCGTAGGGTAGGTTAACGGGGAGACCCCTCTGATTCCACGGTGTTATTTTATTTATACTTCTTTTACTATTTGAATAGTAGATCAACGTTTTGTTATTCTAATAAGGCAACCATTGCATTTCAATAATGGTAAGAAATCTTTTGCGATGATATTTATTAGCTATCGCTATGGGAGAATAGACCGGCGCGCCCGGCTATTACTTGAGTACAAACTTTCTATTACTACCAGTATGAAGTGTCTACCAGTGCAAACATACTTTTACTGTACAAATACCTATAGAAGGTCTTGAGTACAAACTTTCTACTACTACCAGTATGAAGCATCTACAAGTGCAAACATACTTTTACAATTACCTATAGAAAGCTGCAGCGAACCTCACTCAGCCTAAAGTTTCAAGTACTATATCTATATAGAATTCAATTGTGACGTCGAAGTTGCAATTTGTACGCCGTGTTCAAACTGTATTCTTGGCCAGATGCCTGCTAAGATGGAGTCACAGCTTGTACGAGATCAACAATACACTTTCGGATGAATTAAGGTCTGAAATTCGGTGTGTTTATGCCTTCAAAATATCATATAAGTACAGCTTTGAAGACCAATTAAGACCAAGCGGCTGTTGTTGCTGTGTTTCTATCATTTGCTTAGTCGCTGTCTCTTCTCACAGATCTGATGGAGGCTACATGTGGAACGAAGGCGATTGGTCCATACCCAGCATGGAGGTACCGCCAAGCCAGGACCTATCACGTGCTTCGCCCCGGTCTCATCTGCACCTGCACCTGCTGGAACCTCGGCCCACCCACTCCTCGCCCCCGTACCCGCACCTTCCCCATCGGCTCATCAAGTCCCGCTCCTTCCCTCCGTCGCGCGGCTAGGATGGGCACCCTGTAGCTCGCTGGTAGGTACCTGTGCCGTTCATACTGGACAACACCATCCATTCCATCTCCCGTCTGCCCAAGAAGCTTGCGCAGTGCTCTCGCGCGTCTTCATCCACCACCACCACCATCACCACCATCTCTCCCATCATCAATCCTGTTCGTACCCCTTTCTACCCCATCATTCTGTCCTTCTCCTCCTGCCTCCACAGCCACCTCATACCTCATTGCCAGTGATCCTCGTCCTCACCGAAGTCTGTCGTTGTCACGTCGTCGATTGAAAGGCGCACGACGCTCACCACCCTTCTACCTCGTTTTTTCTACTCCCAACCACTCTTTCTCTCCCCAATTCAATTCCGCGCACTCTTCATCAATCATTATCCTCATCATCATCATCATCATCAATCATCTACCTCCATTCTTTTTATTTGAGGGGCTTTCTCTAACGGGCAATCATGTTACCAAACAGCACCAGCTTCGTTGTCGTCGCTGCCGTCGAACAATCAACGCCGCCCATCACTTGATAGGCAACAAACTCTACCGCCCAAATCGCTCTACACCCCTCCTAAAAGGAACCCGACGGTCCTACCACACCTTCCACCACCGATTCGACTTCCCTCCCATTGCTGGCCACTTCACCGCAGTCCGGACGGCGCGATGGATACATATCCAGGTTACAGAGAGCCCCCGCTCGCGCGTTCGCCCACGGAGAGAACCAGCTGGAGTGGACGCGATGATAGCTATCGGTCGTCCGATCGTCCGGAGTCTCGCGACAATTTTTATCGTGGACGATCACCGGGTATGTCAACATCTCAATTCTACCCTCGTCTCTTTGCCACACCGTGGTCGTTGTTTCATGCAGGTGCAAGGCTGCAGCCCGTGTGACGTGAACACATTATATCACAACATCGGAGGCCTGATTGTTCTAATACAATGCCATCATCATCATGGACTATCTAACTTACATTTACTCTCCTTAGGCGCTGATCGACGTCGCACACGAGATCGTTCCCGTTCTCCGCCAGCAGTAGACCGTTACGAGCCTTCCGGACATCAATCAAGAGACGATTACGGCAGAAGAGATCGTGACCGTGATGACCGCCGACGACCATCGCCAGGCCCTGCCAACATTGACCGATATGTTCCAGGTCAGGATAACGGTCCATCCATTACGGTCAATCCATTGGCCGACCCCGCTACAATACAATTCCAAGTTGGATTCTCATATTTCGGTGAATGGTGGCGCACGAATGAGAAGATAAGGGAAGAGCGGGAGCGCGCAAGAACCGGTAGACGCGGTGAACCTCTTCGACGCGATACACAAGAGGACCGCGAGAAGGAGAAGGCTAGAATTCAAGCTGCCTACGATGTATACAAGGACGAACTCCAAGCCAAGATGGCACGAAACTTTGTACAGGAACATAAGGGTGAACAATGGTTTCAAGAACGTTACTTTGCGGAAACTCGAAATGGTTTGCGCCAACAAATTAACGAGTTCCGACGGGGCAATTATAGTCAATGGGAGCAGGATCTGGAATCTGGAACGTTTGATGAATATTCTCTCGAAGGCATCCCTAAGAGTGAGAGTAATGGTGCCGGTGGAGTGGTTGAGAAAGAGGAAGGAGAAGCTACTGCGACAAATGAAGTTCTTGGTATTGGTGATCTTGTCCCATCACGCGGTAGTGATATCCGGGATGAGAATGCATTTCAACCAACTCTACTCATCAAGACTATCGCGCCACATGTGAGCCGTACCAACTTGGAAGCTTTCTGCAAGGAACATCTGGGCGAGGACGAGGGTGGATTTAAGTGGTTGAGTTTGAGTGATCCAAATCCAGGAAAACGATACCACAGAATTGGTTGGGTAATGCTTCATCCAGCTCCAGAGACCACCATGTCAACCGACCGTCCGGAACTGAAAGACGAGGACGCGGATATCCCACCAACCCCTGCGCCACAACTTACCACAGCGGAGAAAGCGCTCGAGGCCATCAATGGAAAAACGGTCAAGGATGAGGTTCGAGGAGATTTTACTTGCCATGTTGGTGTTCATGTTCCTCCCAGTCTACCACGTAAAAAGGCACTTTGGGATCTGTTTTCGGCCCCAGAAAGAATCGAGAAGGATCTCGAGTTAGCTCAGCGTCTTGTGGGCAAATTTGAGGAGGATTTTGGATCCGACTTCAATGCTGTTTTGAAGATTGAGGAACGAGTTGATGCTCTCAGAAACTCTGGCCGGCTTTTGCCTCCAGTTACCGCACCTGTTGTCAAGAAAGTCAAAAAAACGCGTGATCCGCTCGACCTTGATGAGGCAATGGATTCGGCCGAGGAGGGTGAGGAAGAGGAGGAGGAGGAGGAAGGCGCTCTTGATGAGGAGGTCGATGACGATGATCTCTTGATGAAAAAGAAGCAGCTTGACCTTATGGTCGAGTACCTTCGCCGAGTTTTCAACTTCTGCTTCTTTTGCGTATTTGAAAGCGACTCAGTTCATGAACTTACCCGAAAGTGCCCTGGCGGTCATTTGAGAAGACCACGTAACACCTTGACTACCTCTGGTAAGGCCGCAGCCAGAGCCAGTGCTTTGGGTGAACCTTTTCCAATCAAGCGTCGTGGAAATGATCCGGAAGATATGGACTTGGATCCGGTCTCTCCTGATGGCGATCGAAAGTTTATGCGCAATGGTGCACCTTCGAAATCCGAGCAACAACTTTCCCGCGCGTTCAATTGGGTCAAGACTTTTGAGGAAAAGATCATGCAAATCCTTGAGCCTGAGTCGGTAGACGTACGCAAGCTTGGCGGTAAGCCCACAGATGAGGCCCTGAAAGAGGAGCTAGTGAAGTTTGTGAAGCAAGAGGATGAGCATAAATTTAGATGCCGTGTTCCAGAGTGCCAAAAATTATTTAAGGAGAAACACTTTTGGGAGAAGCATGTAGAAAAACGTCATCCTGACTGGGTAGAAGGTCTCAAGAAAGACGTGAGTTCTTGATTGTAAACAGATCATTTGTTTTTGCTAATCTGGTTACCAGTTTGATCTTGTCAATACTTACGTGACAGACCCAGCTCACATTGCTCCATCAAGATCAGATGCTAACAGCAATGGTCATTTCCCTCCTGCTAATGGACATATGCCGGCTGGAACACCTCGTGGTTTCAACTTGCAAAACTTTGGCATTAATGGACTACCACAGCTACCATTTGGTGCCTTACCTGCATTCGCCGGAAATGTTGCAGGAGGTCAATTGGGTTGGGGCGCTGGTACAGATGCTCGTGGTGGTCCTATCAGAAGAGGTGGTCGGCCATATCAAAACAATGCTAGGACTGGACCTTACGACCGTAGACCACGAGATCCGCGATATGGAGGTGAAAATGGCAGACTCAGCCCTCCGCCTGGATCCCGTAGACCAGGTGCTATGGCAGGCGGTGGTGGCCGATGGGGTGACGGTGCGGCTGGCGGTGCTGCCGTTGGACCTCGTGAAGCTGTTCAAGGCCGAAGTCTCAAATCTTATGAGGACCTTGATGCTGTTGCTGGTGGTGGGGCGGGTGAGCTCAATTACTAAACGTTTGTCTTAACGTCTGAGCTATTTTCTTCTTTTAATCAATTTGGACTGGAGGACACAAAATATTGGCGTTTTTGAAGGGTACATTGGCTTGCTTGTATTTGCTTTTGAGGCGGCTCAAGATAGCTTGCTTTGCAACTTTCTGAGTGTATTATACGGATGGAGGATTGATAACAATACATGCATTGATATTTTGTTTATGTGTCTATGTGATCCTTGATCTTGAATCTTTTGATAGAGGGGTGGTGTGATATTTTGTGAGAGGCTTTTGTGCCTCCCACCATGCTTGACTTTGAATTGTCACAGTGATTCTGGTTCCAAAGTGTGTTGGTTATTGACATTTCATCCTAACTTTCCATCTGTCACTTTCTCAAAAGCCGCGTATGTGACGGGCGGGGAGTTGCAGATACACCGACTTTCGGCCTGTCATTAGCCGACGTTGAGAAGCGCGTTGGCGTCAAAGTTCACCGCTGATCCCCCCCACTACAAACATCTACCTGCAAAGGTCAACACTTAACCTCAGCTTGCTTTTGCATCGCTGACAATTGAGGATTGACCGACGTCAGCAAACACCCTTCATCCCATAAAGTTCTTACCTCAGACAACATACATACACATCGGACACCATGACTAGAGGCGAGGTACCTACCCACCCACCCCGCGGAGCCAGGTCCGCGGTTGGCGCGTTTGGAGATATATTTGGGATAAAGGGGTTGAGGTTGAACCGACACTGATTCAATTGTTTGCTACGCAGATTCTCCATCTCCATATCGGTCAGGCTGGTACTCAGCTGGGTAACAGTGCATGGGAGCTGTACGTGGAAACCACCGCGTTGAGTGTTATTTTGTATGTGTGCTAATCCAACCGGCTACCCACAGGTACCTTCTTGAGCATGGCTTGAAGCAAGATGGTCGTCCCGATCCAGAGGCACAAGCCATTCACGATTCTGGCGAGCTGGACACTGTCTTCACCGAAACCGGCAACGGCAAATACGTCCCGCGATCCATCTTCGTTGACTTGGACCCTTCCCCAATCGACGAGATCCGTACAGGTGACTACCGATCGCTTTTTCACCCTGAGCTGTTGATCAGCGGTAAGGAGGATGCTGCAAACAACTATGCTCGTGGGCACTACACCATTGGAAAGGAGATTCTGGACGGCACATTGGACAAGATTCGTCGTGTTTTGGTAGGGTTGCCAATGGATCCAAACGCGTAAACATTTACTAATCAACATCACAGGACAACTGTTCTTCCCTCCAAGGATTCCTGATCTTTCACTCCTTTGGTGGAGGAACTGGATCCGGTTTTGGTTCTCTTCTCCTCGAACGTCTCTCTTCTGACTACGCAAAGAAATCGAAGCTCGAGTTTGCTGTCTACCCCGCTCCTCGTGTCTCCACTGCTGTCGTCGAGCCATATAACGCCGTTTTAAGTACCCACAGCACCATTGAGAACAGCGACTGTACCTTCCTTGTCGATAATGAAGCTGTCTACGATATCTGCCGTCGCAATCTTGACATTCCTCGCCCATCATTCGAGCACCTGAACCGATTGATTGCCCAGGTTGTCAGCTCTATCACCTCTTCTCTTCGTTTCGATGGTGCTTTGAACGTCGATTTGAACGAGTTCCAAACCAACTTGGTCCCATATCCTCGTATCCACTACCCATTGATCAGTTACGCACCCGTAATCTCCGCCTCCAAGAGCTCCCATGAGAGTTTCAAGACACAGGATTTGACCCTTCAGTATGTTTACCCTGCTCACTTTTCTACCAAAAATATCTACTGACTTGATTCCCCAAGATGCTTTGAGCCAAACAACCAAATGGTCGTCTGTGATCCCCGCAATGGAAAGTACATGGCTGTAGCCCTCTTGTACCGTGGTGATGTGGTCCCCCGTGACTGCAATGCAGCCGTTGCGTCTCTAAAGGCCAAGACCTCATTCAACTTGGTTGAATGGTGTCCTACCGGATTCAAGCTCGGCATCAACTACCAAAAGCCAATGTCCGTTCCCTCGACCTCACCAAATGATGGCGCTCTAGCTTCAGTTGATCGATCCGTATCTATGTTGTCCAACACCACTGCCATCGCCGAGGCCTGGTCCCGTCTTGATCACAAGTTCGACCTGATGTACAGTAAGCGTGCATTCGTCCACTGGTATGTCGGAGAGGGTATGGAGGAAGGAGAATTTTCCGAGGCCCGAGAGGATCTTGCAGCTTTGGAGAAGGATTATGAGGAGGTTGCTGCAGATAGCTTGGAGCCTGAAGAGGGTGATGCTGAATACTAAAAGCACGCGAGCGTTTTGATATCCTTGTGGGAGAGAACCTTGGGGATATTTTTCCGTCGGCTTGTTTTTCATGATTTTTCTTCATTTTTCGATTTGGTATGCAAGACTGAATGGAAGGAAAAGTTTAATCATTAAGTGTAGATGAAGATTCTTCCCCTTGGGAAAATAAAGCTAAGTTATTTGTGTAATTACATCTTTTTTTACGGATCGGATCGGAGTGATTGATTGATCGTCGTATAAGTTTTCTTGAGTGATTATGTTATTGATTGAATGATTGAGAGAGGGAGAGAGTAGGTGGGAGGGGCAGTGCTGCCAATGGTTGGTTAACCATTAATTTCGAAGCAAAACCAAACCAAACCAATAAGCCAGAGCCTATAATCAAACCAATCCATTAATTATTAGCGAATAACCAGTAGTTTATAGTTACCAATAGTTATTTAATAGTAACCACTAGTTAACCACGGTACGCGTTAATATTATAACATTTGAGAAGCTATAAATTAAAAGGAAGCTATTTACACCGTGAATTCCTGTAATCTAAAGTGTTCTGTAGTAGTGTGCTCAAATACTTGAAGTAATTACCTAATATAATATAAGGCTGTTGTAGTAGGAGTTATAATTTAGAAGTTATTACTTCTAATTGCTACCTTTGAAGTGCGACTGTGTACGTTACGTGCCTTGTATCTACTAGGCACTATAGGCAGGGTACCTACGTAGGAATACTAAAACTACTACTACTACTCTTGCGCCCCTATCTAGCTAGTATTATATTAAAAACATATATCTATTAGACATAAGAGTATCTAAGTATCTAGGCTATATTCTAGTGTTTTCTCTATGATCTTATGATATTTAAAGATAGTAGGGTATTAAGAATAGCCTTAAATGTATTACGTGCTTAATAACTAAGTATATAACTATTAATAACTATAGTTAACTATTAATTTACAAATCTTATAACCAAACCACTAATAAGCTATTAGTTATACTAGAATCTTATAACCAAACCACTAATAAGTTATTGGTTTAGTTAACCAACTATTAATAACCAACCATTGGCAGCACTGGGGAGGGGTCTTCTGAAGTTTGAAGGGTAAGATATTGTAATACAGTGAAGTACAGTAAGAACAAAACGTGTGTAGCAGGAAGGTAGGAAGCTCCTCCTTTTTACTCTACCTCTCGATTACTATTTGATACTCTTGATACTCCTAATTACTATTGAGATTGGGATTACGACTTTGACATTTGATATTGTGATTTGAAATTGATTTTGAATTCGAGCTTTGATATTTGAGATGATGAAATAGTTTATGGGATTTTTTTATTTTGACTGAGATGTGATTTGATTTGATTTGATTTTTGGGGTGGAGGGTGGGGAGAAGTGAGTAGGTTTGTTGGTGAGTATATTATAGGAGTCTGGCTGGGTGGTGTGTGGTGATTGTTTTTTTGATTGAGATACTTGGATACTTTTTTGCGAGGGATTGAAGATAGGAGGGTTGGAGATGGGAGATTGGAGAGTAGAGATAATGTATATATGGATTTGTGGTTATTGATTTAGTTATAGATCAAAGATTCAAGGATTTTGTAATTAATGCTATGGGTTTTTTTCTATGTTCTTTAGATTCATTCTCGTTGTAGACAAACATATTTATAGCGCAAATCTCAAGGAAATAAGGGATTCAGTCTTGGTTTATTTTAGCGAGAGATCTAGAGAAAAGAGTAACTTTTGTTTCGGGGTTCTTAAGCTATTAGATGCTGTAATATCTAGATTTTTCTGTGTTCTATGGATGGGGTTATTAAGTTTCTGTTAATTAGTATAGTTATCTTTAGTAATAAAGGAGAGGTTATAGGTTTCCACATGGCGAGGTGTAGAAGGTTATATAGAAGAAGTCCCATAGTCCATTTTAGTGAGGAGGGGTGGTGGGTTAATTGGGTATTAGCGTTTCTGAACTTTGTTGATTTATTTCGTTTTGTTCTTTTGGTTCATTGGGCTTGCCAGATTACTTAATGTAGGAAGGACTATGAATGTTGATGCTATGAATCTTGGTTATGGTTGGGATCGTAGAGGAAGAGGAGGGAAATGGGGAAAGCTTGTGTATGAGCTGTTGTTGATGAGGATAAAGTGGTTAGTCCCCGGTGGCTGATATAGTACGAGGGCATGGTATAGAGATGAGTGAATTAAGGTGATAGTAGTAAGTTAAGAAAGGAAGATGATATAGAGAACTGTCGATAAGCTATTCTAGTTAAGAAGATATAAGGAAATAAGTAGATATCTACGTATTTATAACTAAGTAACCCTAAAGTTTTAATATTTAATTTATAGACTATAGAAACTATTTATTAGACCTCCCTTCTAGGAGGATTTAGGCAGGAATTACACAGACCAAGCTAGATTAATACTTTCAAAAATCATGCGGTAAATACTCAAGAGTTAAGCGAGTATAAACAAAATAAAAAAGAACATTACTATAAGATCTTACAGTATTCGTTCCCTAACAATCCCAAACCCGAGAACCTCAAACACATAATCCCATAGCCAGAAGCAGTAAGCCATACAAGAAAGAAGGAAAAAGAAAAGAAAGGAGAGCAAGGGAATGGCATATTTATCACTTTCCCACCAATCCCGCTTGAATATTCTGCTTTAATTCAGAGAGTAATTATTAAAGTGCTGCTACTACTGTAAAGACAATTTAGACACTAATCGTAAGTCTTCGATTCCCAAGTTCTATAATCTTCGAGTAGTATTATTCTTGATTGTGATAGACTGGTTGGGATAGACGTGTTAAAGGTCTTTTGTTGTTTTGCATAGTATTTCAGAAGGGAGAAGATAATATGGGGGTGGAGTGAGAGAAGGTGTTAGGGGAAGAGAGGGAGGGAAGGTTAGGTAACGAACTCCATGTTTATCGCTATTACATACCACCGCCACTATGTATACTTTGATAATAACAAATCCATGTTGTTAGGATTATGCTGACCAGTGGTTTCCACCGCACGGAACCTACCTGCATAGAATGGAACAGGAGTGTACAACAAAGGAGGAGCATATGTGAAGGCCATATAAACCAGGCTCCTGCCCACGTACTTAGCTCCCTAGTCACCTGAATACAGTACTTCTGGCACCCTGGCCGCCCATATTCCTAGCAACAATTCACTAAAGTGCGAAGCACAGAGATATACATATCCCTTCTAACCTCTCAACTCCCCCAAATGAATCAATATTGATTATACTATACAAGTTAAACACCAATCATCCTAACCCTACGCGACTTATTGAAGAATGAACTCCTCGTTCCAAACTCCCAAGTATTTGATTTTTGGCAGATATATCCACGGACCATAGATCTACCTTCTTAACTCCCAGAGCTCAGCTCAACCCAACATGATACAACCAATTAAGAAGCGCGCTAAAACTCGAAAACAGCCAAGGAGTTATAACAGTACCTAGATAAGGTACACATCAAAAAGAATTCAGCACCCCAACTAGATATCTGCCCAATATCCCTCCCCTCCCCCCCACCTCACATCCCACATCCTAAAAACCCACCATACCCTCAAACGCCCCCAAAATCCCCCCAACCTCCAGAAATCACACTCCCCACTCCCCTCCCCCAAAACCACACAAATGAGTATTCCACGNCACCATACCCTCAAACGCCCCCAAAATCCCCCCAACCTCCAGAAATCACACTCCCCACTCCCCTCCCCCAAAACCACACAAATGAGTATTCCACGTAAACACCGGCCATGACCATAGCCATCACCAATATTCATGATCATCTTCATACCAGTACTTTCAAAGAAGAGTTCGAAAAACAACCCCACCTCCTTTCTCCCTGAGAGAGTTACTTTTCCTGGACGGACGGATGGTTAATAGTCGCTTCCTTTTGTTCTGGGTATGGGGGGATTGGTAGAGTGAGTAGGATGGTATTTCTACGGTACTTTGTGATTCGCCATAGAAATGGAAGGGCTTGTGTAGTCTAGAAGTTTCGTATGTAGGAGGGTATTGTATAAGTTAGACAAGCACGACGTGGCAGGGAGTGTGTACAGTACATTCATTTCGCTTGTGGTAATATACATGCACCATATCCACACGTACATAATCTCACAAACCAAAATAAGCGAACCGCCTCACATTCCATCTCACCTCAAACATATTTCATCACGATACCATTTTCTTTTACTAGAGAATCAACCATAGAAGTCATGAAGGTAGGTAGTCTGGCATTGCTATTATTCTACATTTTTCGCAACCAAGATTGACCGACCAATTTATCTGCTTAGACATATATCATCAATTCTCAGAATCATCTTGACCGTCTCGGCAGCCAACTCGACAGCGCTGGTGCTGACGAGCAGGGGTTGTAGAACATTCTCATCCGCGATATCAACCTTGACTCCTCCACTCTTGATACTGACACCAGCATTCTTCTCGCCGTTGGCGTGCTTATGTCGGAGCTCGGTAACAACCTTGATGCTGTTCAAGCCGGCGTTTTCTGCCAAGGTTGTGGGTATGACTTCCATGGCGTCAGCGAATGCTTTCCAGCAAATGGCTTCTGTGCCCTGCAAGGCTCGGCTTTGCTTGGCAAGTTGGGATGCGATTTCGATTTCGGGTGCTCCACCTCCTGCGATGAGGGCCTTCTTCTTAACCAAACATCTGATAACACACAGGGCATCGTGAAGACTTCGCTCAGCCTCGTCGAGAATAAGTGAGTTGGCACCTCTGCACACAATGCTAACCGTCTTTCCAGCACTCTTTGTTCCGGTGACCTTGACAATTCTGCTTCCGCTAGTTTGGTGCTCTTCGATCAAATCGGCACTACCCAGCTTATCTTCCGTAAATGAGTCGATATCTGCAATTGGCTTACAGCCTGTCGATTTACAAATAAATTCTACCTCGTCTCTCTCGATATCCTTGATGCAGAGAATATTGAGTTTGGCGAGGAAATGTAGGGAAAGGTCATTGACTGCGTCTCGGAGAATAGATTTTTGGATGAAAAGAACATTACACTTTGCCTTCTTGATCTTCTTGACCATATTCAAAAGGTATGTTCGCTCTTCCTTGAGAATTTTGTCCATTTGGCGATAGTCATTAACAACGATTTGGTTTTCCATCTAAATTTGATCAGCGAGTATTGAAAGAACCTGGAGAGTAATACTCACGTCTGGTTTTGGAGGACTGAGCTGGAACTGAATAAGTCCTATCCTTGCCTTTTCCATTCTGACTGGGCCACCACCATTCTTAACAACCGGCTGTGTCAAAACAACACCCTCCACCATCTCACTATCCTCGATTGTACCACCAACTTTCTTTACTATTCTGATGTTGTTCAAATCCACATTTTCAGCAGTCTTGAGGTCGATTGTCTTTGTGATAGCATTTACTGCCATGGGGGCAAGTAAACTCGAATGCTGGGATACAATCTTGGAAGAAAGTGATGTCGTGGCGGCCTGTAAAAGGATTGACGTATCGGTAAGGCAAACGGGGTGTGACATTTCGTGCAGAACCTGAACCGCTGCTGCAGCAGCTCTCTGGAAGGATTCAGCAATTACTGAGGGGTGGATGCCTTTGCCGAGTAATCTGTCCGCAGCTCCCAGCAAACTTCCGCAAATCACCACTACTGATGTTGTCCCATCTCCAGCTTCAACATCTTGAGCTGCCGAAAGGTCTACGAGCATCTTCGCCGAGGGGTGCATCACAGCCATACTCTTGAGCATAGTGCTTCCATCGTTGGTGATCTGGTGTGGGGTCAGTCATTATTCCCACAGCCTCACTACAAATTTCTCACAATAGTCTGCCCTCGTCCGTCCTGTATCATCTTGTCCACTGCCAAAATTATAAGTATTTATTGGAAAAGTTCCGTGGGGGCCTATTCTTACTTCCTCGAGGTCCAAGAGATGTTCGTACGGCATCCGCAACAGCTAAACAACTATTAGCTCGTATTTTATGCAAGATTCGTAGGCTCAAGTATACCTCTGGCAGCAACAATATTTGCGGTGCGGACAGCCATAGGCTTCTCCTTGTCCTATAGCTTGAATTAGCTATGTCACTTTGTAATAAGTATGGTGGGGTAGTACCTTAAAGGCAGCATTGCCAGAATTTGCGCTGGCTTGAGTGAGAGCCATTTTCGATGATTCTCGAATTTGCTGAATAGGCTTCAGAGGATATGACGCTCAAAAAGTTGCTCTCTGAAGATGTCGCGTTGCAAGGCTGGTGAACCGCGTCGTAGAAAATCATTTTGCCATAGAAGCTTCGAATACAGCCTAACATCCCAGGCGCCAAGAGAGTGGCAGCCTGATTATGTAAGTAAGCCTCCGGAGCGTCGTCAGGAAGCTTGCCTTCAGCAACGAGAAGATAACAACCTGACTGCAATAATCCGCCTCAACACTGTTTATAATTTTGAATCCCCGCACATCAACTCAAGTCACAACCATCCTCCCTCACGAACTTTCGCCACGCGCCCTTCCATTAATTCCGAGTACCACTCCCTCTTTCAGACACGATGCGTATGTGCTCCAAGCTCCAGACGACCACCTTAGAAGCTAACATCTCGCAGCGAGCGCCACGGGGGCAGATTGGCAGAAGTACACCAAGAAGTTTGCAGACGATGAGATAGAAGAGAAGAAGATTACTCCTTTGACGGATGAGTAAGTCAGCTCGAGTGGTAAACTGCGAATTGCTTACTGATGCCACCTCAGGGATATCCAAGTCCTGAAAACATATGGCGCGGCGCCGTACGCAGCTGGCCTCAAGAAGCTTGAACAACAGATCAAGGAGAGGCAGAACAGCGTCAACGAGAAGATTGGTGTCAAAGTATGGAGTATCATGTCCCCTTCAGTTCTCGTCCATCCTAATGGTACATCAGGAATCGGATACCGGCTTAGCACCACCACATCTATGGGATGTCGCAGCAGATCGCCAGCGAATGTCAGAAGAGCAACCCTTACAAGTAGCGAGATGTACAAAGATCATTCAAGATGAGAAGGATCCCGAGAAGAGCAAATATGTCATCAACGTCAAGCAGATTGCCAAGTTCGTTGTGAATTTGGGGGAGCGTGTCAGTCCTACGGATATTGAAGAGGGCATGCGAGTTGGGTAAGAGTGGTTATTGAGTCTGCCAGAGTAATTGCTGATTTGGATACAGTGTCGATCGAAACAAGTACCAGATCCTCCTGCCATTACCACCCAAGATCGATGCCAGTGTTACGATGATGACGGTCGAAGAGAAACCCGATGTTACATATGGTGATGTGGGAGGATGCAAGGAGCAAGTGGAAAAGCTACGTGAAGTTGTTGAAATGCCTCTATTATCGCCAGAACGATTCGTCAACCTTGGTATCGATCCACCCAAAGGAGCCTTGCTTTACGGACCCCCGGGAACCGGAAAGACGCTCTGCGCTCGAGCTGTGGCCAACAGAACTGATGCGACTTTCATCCGAGTTATTGGGAGTGAGCTTGTACAAAAGTATGTCGGAGAGGGAGCAAGAATGGTTCGAGAGCTTTTCGAAATGGCGCGAACAAAAAAGGCATGCATTATTTTCTTCGATGAAATTGATGCTATTGGAGGTGCTCGAGTCGATGACGGTGCTGGGGGTGATAATGAAGTACAGAGAACTATGTTGGAGTTGATCACACAGTTGGACGGTTTCGATGCGCGAGGAAACATCAAGGTTATGTTTGCTACTAACAGACCTTCGACACTTGATCCAGCGCTTATGAGACCTGGGCGTATTGACCGAAAGATTGAATTCTCCCTACCAGATCTTGAGGGACGTGCGAATATTCTACGAATTCACGCCAAGAGTATGTCTGTTGAGCGCGATATCAGATGGGAATTGATCTCACGTCTTTGCCCCAACTCAACGGGTGCCGAACTGAGAAGTGTGTGCACAGAAGCTGGTATGTTTGCCATCCGTGCACGACGGAAGGTCGCAACTGAGAAGGATTTCTTGAGCGCGGTAGACAAGGTTATCAAGGGCAACTTGAAGTTCAACTCCACCGCTACGTACATGCAATACAACTAGATGTACTCATAGGAAAGGGGTGAATGTAATAATATCAGGCGCATGGAGGTGTTCCAGGTAGAATTGATGCTTCGGGAAAGAGCAATTGTGGTTGCTATCGACGCATTCCATCAATCCTGTTGCCAACAATGGAACCGGGGTTTCTAGGCGGTTATTTATGGCTTGGTCGTAGATCTGGGCTGTGCCAGCATACAGCCGTAGGTAGCAATGTACTCTTAGCCAGTGATCCCACTTGCACTTTGCGATATTGTGTTTACTTTGCTTTTCTTAACTTGATTTTATCTAAGGACTTTCTGCACCATATAGTTCCCGCGTACCATGGACTGTAGTTCACCTGTGAGAGTTCTTCCTTGTCGATATCCTTGTGAACTCCCGTCCGTCTACTGAAAATTGATAGGTTAGTTTGACTCTTGAGCATCATTTGCGGGATGGTGTATTGTACTGTATCATCTTGTAAGAATACTCGTTGGCTAAATGGCTAATGGAAAGATGAGGTGAGGTAAGGTGTTCTTGATTTCTTCGCGTACCTGGTTGTGGAATTACGGAGGTCCTGTGGATGGGAATTAGGATGGCGTAGTGGGGATCTTACGTGGGATTGGGATTGGGATTTGGGAGAAGGGAGTTGGAGGAGATGGCTGTTGAGTTTTGAGGCGGGAGGGAGAGGGAGGGGGAGGGGAGGACGGAGAAGCGGGAAATGTCTCTGGGGTTTTGGGTGAGAGGGGGGGAGNGAGGCGGGAGGGAGAGGGAGGGGGAGGGGAGGACGGAGAAGCGGGAAATGTCTCTGGGGTTTTGGGTGAGAGGGGGGGAGAGAGGATGTTTAGAAGAAGTATTATTTTTTTGTTTTGTGAGAGCTTGAGGGATGAGGGGTAGTGCACGATATTATAGCATTTCGGGTACAGATTATGTCAGATCAGACCAGATCATTGTATAGCTACTCTACCATACTCTGCAAGTTCTTGCTTCCTTCCTTTTATATGAGAAGTTGGAAGGAACAGAGAGATGTTTGGAGTCTGGTGTGATAATAGCTTGGAATTTTATTTAATTCAATGTATGTTTATAGAAGGAATGGTTTGGATTACTAATATACTTAGCATACATAGTAGATAGACTTTCCGTAACCTAAATTTCTGGAAAGCTCCCTTGATACCTTATCCATAGCTACCGCAGTGGGGGGACTGAACCGGAACTTAACGGGGCATGTTTGTGGTCTAATAAGACAGCGGCTGGCGTCCTTCGGGACTAGGTAAATTAGTGGAGCACAATGTGACGCTTTATCCATCATCTTTCTACCGCTTACTCGTATTAAGTACTTCATAAAATCCCCTAGAAGTAAACCTAAAATGTCCCCTCCCCGCAAATACATTTCGCCGCTCCTAGGCCATAACTCCGAAACTCCCGAAAGCAACAGTACGGCTCTTGAACTGGAGTTGTTGACATGCTACGAAGCAAAAGTTATGTAAGAGTAAGTAAGTGTGATACGATGTTCTTATTGTCCGCTTTTAGCGAAGTGTTGGAGACGTGGCATGGTATGGCATATTGGGGAGGATTGGTAGCGTGTTAATCATATTTGGATTTTGAACTTTTGGGACTTACTGGATTTCTATATGGGAGTGAAAATATTTTGGGAATAGGTTGTTTTATAATTTAAGGGTTGAGGTCGTCTTGTTTTATTACTATATTTAAGATTAGTTTTATAATGTAGCTAGGTCGAAGCCGAAAAAGTGGAATTAGACAACCTATAGCTTAGGAGCAAAGTAATATTGTAATCCGAGGCTTAATTTATCTTCTAAGAAATAAGTTATAAATAATATACCTTTACTTATATAAGATCAGAGTGAAATAAGGGTTACGTAAGGGAATAGTAAAGTCGCGCTACTTTCTACGAGCAGGCTATTTGAGTCGCGAAATTTATATTTAATATAGACAGATAGCTCACGGAACGCTCCGGTAGCTTGAACTCTCGTGGAACTTTTATAAAAGTTAGTTATAGGTACGAACCGATCTTTGTGTTTAGGTAATGGGAGCTGTTAGAGTTAAGAGGATAATATACTTCTACTTCGTAGTAGAAGTGGAATTTTACAACATTTACTTTCCTATACTCGACTGGGCAAAATACAACTTGTTTGTCCCCCATCCGACATTGAGGGCTCCCGAGCTCCTAGAGGAATAGAGTAGTATATCTAAAGCTTGGTGGAGATTTTGCCATCCTAGAACTACTTCCACTTCGAAGTATGAAGAGGACTTCTAACGACAGTTCCGCGGGGTCTTGGTGAAGCCAAGCAAAAAAAGTCTTGGTGCTCCCAGCGAACCAGTGGAAGTACGATCTGAGGGGATGGAATTATTTCTTGGCGGGAAAGCTTCGGTTTCTTGGAAGAGATCTTTAAGAAGCTTCTTCTTATGTACTACAGCTATGTGCAATCTGATGCTACCGTCCTCTATGTTTTGAAGAAGAAACGTAAATCAGAATAAATTCGGGTTAGTATTAGAACACGGAAATATTCTGGAGCGGCGCAATGACGCATCAATGCGGAGTAAGTGACAAAGTTGGTGTAAGGTTATTAGCAAGGGCTTTCAGATATAAGGTTCCAAATACGAAGTATATTGTTTTAAGCCTCCTGATTCCGCCGCGAACCATACTTAGAAGTAGATATCATATGTCTGTTACTCTCCCCGCAACCCCCCGTAAACGAAAGGCTGTTTTTCTTGTACCTCCACATACGAAAAATAAACTTTTATTTATGGAAGGGGAAGGGAAGAGAGTACCGTGGAATGGCTACGAAGTAAATATGCAAAGCTCAGGAGGCTGTTTGGTTTGAAGACCCGCTCAACCCACAACATTAGAATCAGCCTTCTGGGTGTTCGGCAAGTTACGAAAGCAGAAGGCACTACTCAAGATCGATTACTATATAGGTCAACATCTTTCCCTCTATTCCTGAAAAAGGTCATCCTTCTATCTCTTCAAATATCTAAAACACTTTATCTAAATCCTCAAAATGCAGCTCTCATCTATTATACTTATCACGCTTGTACAAGCCATGGCTGTATCAGCACAACGAACATATAACCCATGGTGCGAACGCAGAACGGAAACGCTTCCATCTGGTTCAACTGGGTGCAATGGAACACCACGGTGCGTAAGTCTGCTAAGAAGGGGCCAGAATCCCTGCTCTCTCATACCCGCATTTTGAGCAATATTTAATACAAATAACTAACAAAAATGTAGTGCACCGGTCAGGGAATGACTGGAGAATACCAAGACAGGTTGACCTGTGTAAGACCAGAGAGAAATGGGGCCAGAATCCCATGTCCAAGAGATAGTGAAGCTGTAAGTTTGATATTTCTCTTCCTCATCCTGAGCCTATATGTAGAAACACTTTACTAATAGTATGGCGAATGCAGAGTATCTACTGTTGCTAGACTGTGTATGTCGTGATGACCTGCAGAGGGACGCCATTGAGAACAACGTTGGCCAGTAGTGGTGCATGGAATTGGAATGGGGGTGTCTAGTCAAGAATAACTTTGAAGTGGTTTCCACACACTGGCTGTGGTCACTAAACATAAACTTCATTCACCCCAATCTTCCACCTCTGAAATATGATGACTATTAAACACTTGGGAATTATTTTTGTTATTCAAGAAGGTGAGAATGATTACGTGTCTTTTGGTACTTCGGAATTACCAGAAACCCATAGCTGCAACGTAGTACACAAGCAATATTTTTGGGTTGAGCCAACGCCAAAAACTCCAGTTTCCCCCCCTTCCCTACCAATCCACACCCCTGTGTCCTAAGCGAGTTTTCGCACATGATCATGCACTATTAAGCCCCTTTTTGCCGCTGGATCGCAGTCTCCTCCCTACGACAAAACTAAATCCCTGATCCACAAACAAATTCAAAGCCTCACTCCACTGACGTACTCAAGCTGAAATTGTTACTTTCTGCGCAGCCAATTTGAGTCACGAGCTTTGAACCAAATAGAAATTGCAGGAATCTAGTATGTTGTAACCTCGTCGTCATCCGATACTAAAATTTACTTATTATTCGAAGACTGACAGCTTGCATCGAGCAGATTATATATAGCAAGACTGTACTTTGCAGTATAACAGGATAAAGAGGCCATTGAAGATAGATTCACCTCACAGTTTGAACTATAAATTATGAACAGAATTCTAGCTCCACTACCCCAAAGGAGTTGAAAGGCAAGGAGTGCTTCATTAGGTAGATATACTCGGATGGGTCACATGACACATTTTTGCCCTTTTACCTAGGTAATGTACGCTTTAGTCAACTTGCATGAACCCCCCAATTTGATTCCCCTAGATCGGACTGTCACATAGTTCCCACTCTTGCTCTGCTTTGCAAAGAATCTATCATTGCCTGAACTACAAGATACCCTACATATTTCTGACCAGGCTCGTAAGCCATTATGTCGGAGGACTTTCCAGCAATCGATGATGAAACCGAGTTGTCAGCAAAGTTTCCATACCGCCTCCTCAATCCCTCTCGTCAAGAAATCCGCCTGCTCGAACTGCGACCAGGCGAAGAGAGCTCTCCAATCCAAGCGTCTCTCATCAAACTTCGCTTGTCAGAGGATCTGATTTATGAAGCCCTCTCATACGCCTGGGGAGAAGATCCTTCAATGACTGTCCCGATCTCTCTCATCTCCAACAGACATACCCAACCATTTACGATTCAAGTTACCACCAGCCTCGCTATCGCTCTCAAGCAACTTCGTTACACTGATTCCGTAAGAATTATATGGGCTGACGCGATATGTATCAACCAAAGCGATATCTCTGAGAGAAATCAGCAGGTCCGCATTATGGATGGGATTTATAGATCCGCTACCCGAGTTTGCGTCTCTTTAGGAGGAGAAGCCCACTCCAGCAATGAAGCAATGTCACTTATAGCCTTACCAATCGAAGACATAATTTCGAGTAAATTAATTTCCAATCCTTCATGGGGTTTGGCCTGGCGTGCCCTCACATTCTTGGTGCAAAGAAGATGGTTTCAACGTTGCTGGGTGGTGCAGGAAGTCGCTATTGCGAAGGAAATAACCTTATATTGTGGTTCTGCATCTGCTCCCTGGGATCACTTACTTTTACAGATTAGGCCCCTGTATTTGGACGTTTCGAGCCTTCCTTCGAGCAACGGAAGACCAACACACCACACCAGTCATCTAATACAATGCGAGGCACCTACGAAGTGGGAAATGTCTGATGACGACTTCAAATGTAAGACTACGAGCGGGGCATTGAAGATATGGCAATTAAATGGCGCCAAACTTTCTTTCGGTAAACTGGGTATGAAAGGTTTTTTGAATAATTGTTCGTACTCAAATTGCTCTTACTCAAGGGATGCCATGTACTCCATGTTAGGCATTGCCAAGGGGGAAAAAAGCATGTTTTGGTGTATCGATTACGAAAAAGAAACAATTGAAGTCTTCATAGATGCTGTAGAGAATATTGTTGAGGCTACTGGTAGTTTAGACATTTTATGTTACAGTCGATGGACCGAGAATAATGACCACGGTAATCGCCACTCCTGGGTACCTAGATTCGCTGGCGGATTCGAGAGATGCGGTTGCGTTGGCTTCTTCGCAAATGGCTTTACCATCAGTTATGCGCAGATGAAAGACACGATGGAAATATTGTACTGGATAGGTCGCTCTACAGCGCCTCCGGAAGCCATAAAGCCAATTTTCACTTTGATCGCTCCAATCGTCAGATATCGGTTGCAGGTATGGTGGTGGACAAAGTAACCAAAGCCTTAGATCCCCTGGTGCAAAGCTCTTCACCCTACATGCCTCAAGACTATGCAATACATATACCAAAATCATGGAGAGAAGCAGCAACGTATTCCGCCAATACGATCGACAACAAAGTCCACCATGACAAAAGATTCGATACATTTTGGAGAACCCTAGTAGCAGACAGAAATAACTACATCTCCGCCCCTGAACTACACGTTAGCTCATTCTCGGACTTCGAAGAAATATTCTCGCTTGATAACGGTAGATATATCAAACAAGCATACTCTCCAGCACCACAAGAATGGGCTCTTGAAGCTGAAGCGTGGATAGAACCCGATATAACGTTTTTTGTTGATTCTCATTCGGCATTCCTTAGGAAGCTTTCTTATTGTGTACCAAACAGACGATTCATTATCACTGAGAAGAGTATGGGACTTGCTCCTGAAGCATCTCATGTCGGTGATTTTGTCTGCGTCTCGCTGGATTGCTCAGTACCAGTCATTCTGAGACCCGTTAAAGGGTCCAGTGGTCTCTATAATCTTGTTGGAGAAGCGTATATACATGGTATGATGGATGGACAGGCCATCGAGAAGCTTGAGAATGGGGAGTTCAAGATGCAGAGGTTCTTGATTACTTAACTGTTATTGTTTAACGTTTCAGGCAGTCTGTGAATGTCATTTAGTTCTATGCTTAAATCGTAACTAATCAGAAAATTCTTGTGTGTCAAATGAGAGAAGTATTCAGTGAGGATATTTTGACTATTACTTTTGCGGGGCCGAGGATTGGGGTGAGTTTGACTAGCGAAGGCGGTGGGAGGAGAAGGAATTTAACTGGAAAGTCATAAATTAAGAATTCCTATGGACAAAAGTCTATTGCAATTTCTTGAGGTCATCACTTCTGCAAGCAAGCTGCAAAAATTGGGCTGACAAACATCGTAACGCGGAATCAACCTGGGGTTCGCGTTTGTGGTTCATAATATGGTCGTATCGGCAGCTTTTACGCTTCCTGGGATCTTTCTGGCATTTGCTATCAGTAGGTATAATCTAAGGGAATTTTGCAAAGCCTAAATCGACAAACCAGACACCGCTCTCAAGTGATCCAACAAATGGCTTTTGACGCAAATCGTTGAGATGGAGGGGGATTGTTAGGTAGGAACAAGTTGGAATGATGAGACAATATGCATCACGGCCTCAACTCTCTAAATCTAATGTGAGTCATTTGAGTCAACATAACAGATTGCGGATAGAACATTGGGACCAGCTCGCTGAAAAACATGTCGGGCAGTGACAAGTGTTTTTGAGATAACGAATATATTTCTGCATTAGAAATGGCCCGCCATTCTGCTTACTAATTGTCACCCTCTCCCCTTCCCCCCTTCGTCCAGATAGTCTGCTATACCCTGAGGAGATTCTTGCAAACGTTGAATTTGAAACAGCCTGCTATTTCTGACTCTGGTGTTCACTAGTCATTCATCTAGCCCTAGAAATTTCCCGGAAACCGTTCCTGACAAAGTCGCATTCGGTGCCTTGTAGGTCGTAACAAGCGCGAATCAAATTGCTTCACGGATCTGCGTCGAGAATCATATACTTCTCGTCTTAATGTGGGAGGAGTATATCGAGGATCTGGATCGCTCTAAAACCCGTGCACCAGAAGATAGCGCGTACCATCTGGAATCCCTAGAGTACGCATCCCTTCCACCAGTGTCAAATCACTTGGATCGGGTCTCCAGGCGTCCATAACCATGCTTTCAAGCATATCTGGTCCAAGTTCTTGATCAGAGACCATGAGACGATCCCCGAGGACACTTCTCAAGGCATTATTGATGTTAAGCATAGAGATGAGGAAAGGCAATCCATGGCCATGCCTTCCATTTCCACGATGTGCGCATTCAATGAAACCCGGTTGGGCGAATGTACACATGAAAGCGTGCAGCATTCTATAAAGTTTAGCTATGCTGAAGGAGAATGGTTTGAAAACCTACTGGTGGAGCAAAGCAGAAATAGCTCAAGAATGCCAACTATTTTCGAAGACAGCAATTTCGTGGTTGTTGAGTACGTAGTTGACGTCAACAAATATTGTTCGAGTTGTCTCTTTGTAATAAGCACCACAGGGGAAATCGAGAGGAGGACCACCATCACCGTCAAAGCGTTCAAATTGAAGACGCTGAGCGAACCAGTGTTTTGAAAGCTGGCCAAAGAAGATAAATTTGTCAGAATGGCGAAACCATTCGTATAGAAATTCGGGCCTTGGAGGCTGGTAGCGACGCCTAGGAAGGATGTACCGAAGCCTAACGTTGTTGAACCAGCTTGTGACACTGCTTAAGGTCCTTTCTTGGAACAAAGATGGAAACGTGCGTTCGTCATAGCGACCGCACTTGAGGGTATCGGCCCCTTGAGCGATACAATCTTTTATATTCAAGAGCGGGCGCTCTCGAGTATGGCTGGCAGGTTGTTGTTGATTAATGAGCATTCTGTACAGCGCTGTGGTGTTGTAGTATGGAGGTGTAAGAAGACCAAAAGTACAAGATTCCTATTCAGGCTTCATCAAAACATATATAACATATGTTACATATCACTTGGAGTCAACTTAGTGACTAAATGTAGGTTAAACATCCTGTTTCAAGTTGCAAGCCTCCTACCATCACATTTGTGTCAACTGCCAGGTTTTGCGGACTAAATAAGTGAATGTTATTCTTCGCTTAGCATATGTCTCGCCCATCTCAACATGTGATATCAAGTGAAAGTAGAGCTTGTGGGGGAAAAGCAAGAGAGCTTGCAATTATTGTAAGTGTGTTCATTAAATTCAAAATCCTCATAGTATGTTGTCACTGTTAAAGAGATTAAAAAAGCTGCTCAGTGTTCAGGTTGATTGACGTTTGCAGCTCTCTGCTAACTTGCGGTCTTTATATCATGAAGTGAATTGTTTCAGAAACTTGAACTTAGCATCACCTCAAGGCGTACGCTGAGCCACGAGAGACTCCGTAAGTAGAACAAGTTGATTGTCTGAAGTTCCTCCTTCTGCTCTGGCGCTCGTGAAACCAAGAAAATTCCTCGCTGTTTCTTAAATTTCATCGCAGTAAAAGTTGGAGAATGTCAAAAAATAGGAAGTATAGAATACAAGTTTATGAGGTATAAGAATTGGATGCTAACGGGTGTTGAAGTAGACAATTCTGCGCTCTTCTGCTTGGGTTATATGGATGAAAAGAATGCGATTAAATATATGCCTGTTTTGATTGGTTGCAAGGAGCTGAGTAGATGTATTGGGATATGGGGTTCCGTGCACACAGAATGTAAGCGTATAGTATATAAAATCTCGAACTTGTGATTTGCGATGATCTGGAGAATTACCATCTACACCGAGTCTGCAAACATGACAAGAATCATCAGAAATACCCCCAGAAGCAGCTCTACTAACAACAAGAGCTATGGCTAATTTGAGAAAAGAAGATGCCTTCTGTTAAAATAAAGATGTGGCACTGCCTGCGCTCGAGTAACGGGGTGATGTAAGATAAGCCCATTCATTGCTTCGTCTCCATGATTGACAACTTGAGGCGGCATAGCCTGGCTTTGATCAATGGTCAAGGCTAGTCAGTCTAGTGTAGCTGCGGCAAGGAAGACTGAGTGCCACGACCGAAGTCTTTTCTCGACGTTATCCTACTCCTCTCGCCCTGGTCACTTAACCGAACTGAGCTTGACCCACCTCGTTTGTTTGGGGAGGAAGGAGCGACCACGAAATGTCGAGACACCCACAAATGAGAGATATCTGTCAACAGAGGAAGGAACGAGGGACATTGAGACACATGTGCCCACTTAGTATCATTAGTGTAAGTATGAGGAATAGTAACATCAATACAATAGAAAGCAGTCAGTCTACTGACCAGCCGCCCGCGACTCGTAAGTCAACACTCACTGATGAGTATTTATCCCAATGGACTTTGACGCGTTGTAGTTGTATTGTGTTGCTCTGGTAGATGCTGCTGTGGCGCACCATGTGAAACCTTATTTTGATTCATTAGCCGTGTCTATACATCAACATGCCTGTGAACCTTTGTTTGGTGCTGAAAATCGTAGAGCACTAGAGGTCAGATACAAATTCATTGCACAACCAGTTCCACCAAAGTCGGTTGCTTTACTTTTAGTAAATGAAGGATGGCAAACGTTGGATGTTCAATAGCTAGATATGGGTGGCTGGGTGCTCTTTGACCGGGTCAGGATCCGAGTGTTCCCCCTCTATAAGGTTCATAGTACCCCACCCCGCAACTCCTTCCATCTCAACCGCAAGAACATATTTCAATCTTTGCAGCTGGTAGACCTTGCAAACCCCAGCACCATGCCCCCTTTCAGATCGAGTACTACACGCAAGAAGCGCTTCCACGGCATGGCTCCATGTTCTTCCAACTTAAGCGTTCGGCAGAGAACTTCTCCCGAGCGCAGGAAATATCCCGTGGTATGACTATGGATGTTCTTCTGAGTAGCATGGAATGTAAGATTCTTTACTCATATTCCGCTCAATGTACCGATTACTCGTATCTGGCTCGGATTTTAGACAGCGTCCGTGATGAATACAGACCTTTGGGCGATGACCTCTTCTTCGTTTTTTTCCTGAGAAAACAGGCAAGGTTTCCCGAGTCCTGATTCAATAGAGTTTGATCTGACCACAGAATTTCAGATGCTGGAGCCGAATGAAGAAAATGCCTCCAGAATATTTAATGGGGGTGAGACTGTCTATTGTAAGGTTCTAGATGAGGATGGGACGGAGTACGTCCCTTGTTATGATGGCGTGCATAGCTACGAAGTTAAGGTTCGCGGAAGAAAACCAAAGGCCGAGGATGTAATGCGAACTCATGGTGTTGCGGAGGCTTGTAGGTTGGGATTGATGTGACCGTTGAGTTGTCATTGTGGTTGGGGATGCGGTCGGAATTCTTTTGATAGGAGTTTGCCACTCTTTTGTTTTGGAGGTGGGAACTTGTGTAGGAGGACATTGGGGAGCGCGAGCAAGATGAGTTTCTTTATTAGGGTAGCTTCAGCGCTACGAATCATCCTTGAATTGAAACTTTCGTAGCGTTTTTTCTTATTATTGCTATAGTACTTGTAATCATAATTTTTATCTAGCGACGCTTTCAAGGTAAGCATGTCAAAACTTTAAAATATCCCATCTGGAAACTCAAATATATGGCGAGCTCACTAACTCAAAATGGATATTGCACATACGAGAGAACTGCACTTGTAATTTGCTATTTATCAAGTACTAGTCCTAGAAGAAATGTATAAGTATCTTCTGCCAGAATGGTATCTCTACGCTCTTACGGGTGTCCATCAATCGCTAGCAGCACGTCCCAGATTCATGTCCGACAGTTGCATTAAAATCTCTGGTACCAATCCCGCCAGCCAAGTGTATCACCTTCATGCCAGTACAGAAAACCTTGGTCCCATCAAATAAGCAATTGAGGGCGCCCCTATCGTAGACAGGCATTCCCCCAGCCCTTCATTCCTTATTTCTTTCTGTATACGAGGAAACAGGAGTCAGCTTACTATGAATTTATCAGGACTTATCCTAAGGGAAAACTTACTGGCATCTTGAGGTTGGGCCAGATAGCTGGTAATGGCTGTGTGTGTAGCCATAGTAACTCCCAAACCTACAACGACAAAACAATAACCCCTCATAAATCTTGTGTATGATTTTCTTGTGAAATTGTTTTGCGCAATCTCTTCCTTGGATTTGCCAGGACCATTGTGGAACATCCAGCCTGTGTTGGGGTCGTGGAGGCTCATTTTGGCTTGAGGCTTGTTTGTTTGTGTTTGTGAATGAATGAATAATCAACCCTAAGAAATCGAAAGTGGAACCGAACTGATAATTTACGTAAGAGCATTGAATTCAAAGGGGTTGAATGCTCCATAGTTAACCTACCCAGTGTTTTGTGATGTAAGTTTGACACTACCAAAGGCTGGGGTGCGGAATGTAGTTGACTCTTTTGTGGAAGTAGGTTTGCTTTATGTGCTCCGATCGTTGGGAAGATGGTTGTGTTGCAAAAGATCAAGCTAGGAGCCCTGTTATTTGAATAGCCAATGCCCCTGTACTACTGCACGTTTGAAAAGCCATGTACGCAGAAGACGGGACAGTAGAAGGAATAATTCACTACTCTTGTGGTTCCTCAGCCAATAAGAGAAGGGGTAATTGTGAGGATTAAGATATTTTTGAAGATGTGTCAGGGTGTATGATTAGATTGTCTGCGAGGAGAGAAGAGTTCTCCAAGCAGAAGTGCTACTTATCTATCTACAGTGCCTTGTTTCCCGAAATCTACCCGACACCAAGCCTCGAATTCACTGAATCAAATCTGTTACATAAGGTCCCTCTTTCCTACACCTTTTCTCGTTCCGCAAAAGCTCTCAACCGTTCGTTCTTTGTCGGTTTAGGCTTATTAGGGAATCTAGTCTCGAAGGTACGTATCGAGGCTACGCTATAGATAACATTGACCAATGGCTCCCATGAGTTCTCCTCTTGGCTATAACCTCGCCATCTTATCAGATATTCGAATTTTCTACCCTTCCTCCTCGAGTCTACTATCTCCTCCACTGCCCATAGAGCATGTCCTCCATCGTCTACTGTCACAGGTGGAGGTGCTAGGTTGACTTGCCCTGGCATCGGGACGCCGGCGGCGGGGCGTAGCAAATTAGTGTGGAAAACCGGGTGGATGGACTGTAATTCGTAGGGAAGCTCCAGCTTATAGGAGTGGGAGTTCATGATTTGAAGTACTCGGTAGGGGCCAATGTACTTGGCGTCGAATTTCGGTATAGGTCTCGCTGACTTGATATTCCTTGTGCTTAACATAACCATGTCACCTACTCTGTACGCTGGGGCTGGTGATCGGTTCGCATTCGCAGATTCCTCCATACGGTCCCTCGTAGTAAGCAAATTAGTACGTAAGTAGCCCAAGATCTCCTCCATCTTCCGAGCAAAAGTTCTTCCCGCAAGAGCGTTCTGAGAGGTGAGCGTAGGTGATCGAGGTGGCCCAAAACTCATGCGAGGATGATAACCGTTGTTTGCAAAGAACGGAGATATGCCAGTTGCAGAGCTGACTACGTTTCTCATAGCAAACTCGGCTAAGGGTAGGAATTGAACCCAATCTGTCTGGGCGAAGTCGATGTACTGACGTAGGTACTTGGAAATGGATTTGTTAGCGACTTCGGTCTGGCCATCAGTTTCTGGGTGGTATGCAGTAGAGAGATCAACTCGAACCCGTAGTACTTCGCAGACGGATTTCCAAAAGTCTGAGAGGAATAAGGAACCCCGGTCAGAGACGATAGTGTCTGGTAGTCCATGAAGCTTCCAGACGTCTCGCACGAATAAGCGAGCCAGCTCGGCTGCATTCATATCCTTGTTGCATGGTGTAATGTGGCAATCCTTAGTGAGCCTATCTGTAACGACCATAATCTGGTCAAATCCATCGACCAACAGAATAGGGCCCATAAAGTCGACTGATAAGTCTCTCCATCTTTGAAGCGGTATTGGGAGTGATTTTAAAGTGCCCTGGTATCGTAGCTGGGAGTACTTGTTCCGAAGACAGTTTGTACAGGCTCTACAAAATTGGGTGATATCGCGGTAAAGTTTCGGCCACCAATAATGTCTACACATGAGCTCGAATAGTTTGTTCTTGCCTGGGTGACCGCTCTCGACCGAGTCGTGGGCTCTTTGGAGAAGCCATACTCGTAGTTCTGTATCTGGGACATATAGCCTGTCCCGAAAGTATAGCCTGCCGTCGTCGATCCGACACTCGGACAATGCGACTTCTTTGGAGTGTGGTGTGCGGTCTTCTCTGTTCATTTCCTTAGAAGTCTTCTTCCAGAAAGGGTCTTCCTTGTACCCCTCCTCTAACATCCTAGTCAAGATATGGTCGTCGGATTCAGTTCCCTGCTCGTCTGGTTCTGGTTCTGGTTCCTCTTGTTCAGTGGGTCGTTCTTCCTCGTTTAGAGGTGCTAAGCGAATGGCAGGGTCTAAATTTTGAGGTTTGAGAAGTGACTGTTGTTGGTATATAATCCGAGGGTCGTCGTCTCGGCTCGGGAGGTCTTGGGATCGACGAGTAAGTGAGTCGGACTTGGTGTTCTTCTTACCAGGTACAGGTTTAATAACAAAGTCGAATTCAGAGAGAAACTCGCTCCACCGGACTTGACGGCGGGTCAGTTGCTTAGTAGTCATAAAGTACTTCAAGTTGGAGTGATCAGTGATTACTGACACAGGGTACGCGGTTCCCACAAGTTCGGAGCGCCAGGACTCGAAGGAACGTACTATGGCAAGTAGTTCCTTGTCATAGATTTCGTAATTGCATTCCGCGGGGTCGAGGACTTTTGACATAAAGGCAACAGGGTAGAGAACTCCATCGTGGTATTGGGACAAGATGCCGGCCGAGACGTAGTCGGAGGAGTCACATTCGACAATGACTTCCTTCTCTGGGTCGAAGTGCTTAAGTGTTGGTGCAGAAGTGAATGCTTGCTTAAGTGCTTGAAACGATTTATCACAAGTCGAGGTCCATTCCCACCTTACGCCTCTCTTAGATAGTAAATTCAATGGTTTAACTAACCTCGAGAAATCCTTAACAAAGCGCCGGTAGAAGTTCGAGAAGCCAAGGAACGCCTGGAGGTCTTTGAGGTGAGCTGGCCTAGACCAGTTCGTGATAGCCGAGGTCTTCTCAGGGTCCATTCTCACTCCATCCGTTGATATAATCATGCCTAGATAGGTGACTTCCTGGACTTCGAACTGGCACTTCTTAATGTCCAGCTGGAAGCCGGCTTTTTCGAGAGCCTCGAACACTTGTTCGACCTGCTTACGATGCGAGGTCAAGTCGTCTGAATAGATGAGTATATCGTCTATGTAGGCAGTGCAAAAGATATCCAGGAACGGGCGGAGTACTTCGTTAATCCGGGCTTGCCAGGTTGCTGGAGCGTTCGTAAGGCCAAATGGCATGACTAGAGATTCGAAGAGGCCGTAGCGAGTATTGAAAGCTGTTAGCCATTCGTCCCCCTCCTTAATTCGTATGTGGTTAAATGCTGCAATGACATCGACTTTGGTGAAGTACCTTGCTTTGCTGAGTCGTTGGAGTGTCTCTTGGATTCGGGGTATCGGATACCGGTTTTTGATCGTAATATCGTTTAGTGCTCGGTAATCCACGCAAAAGCGTAGTCCTCCACCAGGCTTCTTTGCGAAAAGTACTGGGGAGGCAGCCGGGGATTTACTTGCTCGAATAAACCCCTTCTTCAGCTGTTCGTCGAGGTACTTACGTAAGACCTCTAACTCTGGGATAGACATATTATATAGAGGTCCATGGGGAGGAGATGAACCAGGCTTCAATTCAATCTTCAGGTCGCAGTCTCGATGTGGGGGTAGCGTATCAGCTTTCTGACGGTTAAATAACCGAGATGACCACTTCTTCAAGTGTGGAGGGAGCAAAGTCTCAGGATCAACGTGCTCTCCAGGGTTGTTGTACTTTGCGAGTGCCTTCTGGATGTCGTCTAGAGAGGCCCCGCAGAGGTAGAGTTCAGCAGCCATTTGGCGAGAATCGGTGGTTTTGTGCTGGAAGTCGTCCTGAATCAGTAACTCCTTTTCCATGCGCTTCTGGCCCGAGAGGCCATCGTCCATCCGAATGCTGTACAAGGTGTCGGGAGTAGAAGGGCTCGCGCCTAACTCCTCTAACCTTTTGTCTATTTCAAAAACAGATAGAGAGAACACTTCAACGCCGTGAGTAGATGCCAGCCGGTTGAAGGAGGCAGCGCTGACTTTCAGGGGCTTAGGGATATGTGAAACGTCGTGACGAGTGCATTTCACTTGAACCGAATCCAACCTCCTAGGCATACAGTGTCCTCTACAGTACGTAGAGCCAAAAACGATACTGTGGTTCGTCCAGTCAATTTGAGGGTTGTGGAGAGCGAGCCACGGGTGTCCTATGATGATGTTGTGGGAGGCGAGTTTAGTAACATGGAAGCGTTGTTGACGTTCTACATGCTTCCCGACAATCATGTCCAAGATAACTATATGAGTAACATCACCTGCTGAAGAAGGTCTCCCGTCCGCGATGCGGAGACGACGAGGCCGAGCGAGTGGGACGAATTCAAAACCACAATTTTGCGCATAATCGGAATCAATGAAATATTGAGCTGAAGCCCCAGAGTCGAGCATAAAGTAAGTAGTAGAAGTTATGTGTTTGGTATTGCCTTTCTGTACTACCTTACAAGGAACCTCCATCGTACTTTTCTGCCTTTCCTCTAGAGATGATATCTTCAGGACCTTCTTCCGAAGACGTCTCTGACGGCGACTTTCGTCAGAGACTAGACTTTTCCCGCTTCCTTCGCAGCTTTCGTCGACTCTCGAGCCTCAAGCTTGGGACATCCAGTGGTGCCAATATTGTGGTCGGGGCTATCGCAATAGTGGCAAAGGTCGTGTTTGATTTGGTAGGCTTTGCGAGCTGTCTTCTCTTCATCGGTCTTCGCACGACGCTTTGCTTCTACGTCCTTCTTAGTCCAAACGAGTCTTCCAGCAACTTTCATCATATCGAGCTCCATCGGGTCTTCGTAAGCAGTAGCAGTAGCAGTAGAGGCAGTAGGCGTCGGGACTGTATAGGGGGTAAGAGCCATGGAAGCGAGCTTGGTAGGCTTGGTCTTGGTGAAGTGTTCGCCGAAGATCTTTCTACAGTTGCGGTCTTGCTCTCGGACAAGGTTGACTAGGTCGTGGGGGGACATGTCGTCGCTATATCGGCCGCTGGAGAGGACTTGAGCATGAATGC